CAGCTCATCAGTCCTTAAGGACTCCACTATCAACCGCCAATAGGAATTTCGTGTTAAAACTCATCTGTCCAATAACTTGAACCTGGGTGGTGTCATCAGCCTCAATATAGGAAGTGTAGCTAATAACCTGGGTACCTGAGTTCTAACTAAATCCATCGATGCTCTAGGACAGATTTGATTGCACTTGATATTACTTAGATGGTTAAAGAATCACGATGTACATATATTTTAACTTTATGAAAATGCCCAAAATGAACTTTGTCATTATATGCCACAAGCAGTTGTGATCCACTGAATTAGGGGGGTCCAACTCTCAAAACTAATATTAGCAAAGGTAACAATGTCACATCCATGAGGCTTACTAGAACAGACATGTAAATCAATGTTAACTAACATAGGATTAAAAATGAAAAAGATTTACTGGTGGTCATATCCAAACATGCTACGAATCCATCAAGTCTTTGACTGTTGGTTTGAGCCAGTCACATAGACAAGGGGAGGAGTGTAGACTGCCTGATTGAACTCCTTGAGATGTCTGTCTGTCTGTTTTCGACATAGAACTTTGCACCAATGTGCACCAGTTCAAGTCGCCACACTCCCTCCATGTACCACACAAAGCAAGGGAAGAAAGTGAAAGAAATGCATAATAGAGACAGTAAACAGAGGTGTGAGACAAAGGAATAGTAATAACGAAGAAAAAAACAGTTTCATTGGAAATCATAAGTCACAAGAAGTGGATGCATGAGCGCCAGTCAGCCATTGAGAACGATTTTGAGCCCTTATCACCAGTTGTTTCCAACCATCGGTTTTTACCGTCCGAGGATCCCAACCAGGAAGTCTAAATCTTACTACGTGGCTTAAACTAACTGTTGTAGATTTCATTGACTGGTGCCATGTTTTGGTTTGACCACCACCATTAACTAGCTCTTTTCCAACCTGACCCTATATCAGCTAACATCGCTCGTGAAGGAAGGTGATGACCAGGCATACGTAACACATGTCCTAAACATCTCAGTCGATGTAACTTCACAAGTGTATCTAACACTGCTCCTGTGGAGTGAGCCAGTTACATACGCCATACAATTAGGAGTGTTTCTCGTCGGATTTCGAACATCACCCTTCATAGTGGTTAAGTAAAGGACAAACAAAATCTATTGACATAGCACTATTCTATCTCATTCTGTGGATACAGAACACAAGATTGATGTCAACGAGGTAGCTTTCAAAGTCATTTACTGCATACTAACAAATCTTAACTTCTCCTTAAGAGTTCTTCTACTACATATTTCTGAGGCTGGCTATTGGGATCTACACTAAGAAGCCTAATTTATGTGTCCAAAAGAAGCTAGTTCAGACATTGTCCTTAGCTTGACCATCTAGGCTTGAATGATTCTCAACTTTTGTGGAAATTTCCCTAATTTTAGTTGATATTCTATTTGCTATTATATTTTTGTTATTATAATTTAAGCATCTTTAATGAACTGTAATTCCACTGTGATCTTACTTAACAAATCGATATTGTCTAAAAAACACTAATATTGGTATTGAATACTATTCAAGAATATTCTATGTATAATGAACATATATATATATATGATTGTAGAGCCAGAAGAGGAATTGATCGAAAAGGATATTCTTTGTTCAATTATTTTGTATTTTATAAATGTCTGAATGAATATTTTCGCAACTAGAGTAGCGATCTAAGATATTCACGTATCTAATTTACACACTTCAAATGTTTCACTTTCAACAACCAAGTTAGAAAAAGAATAAAGAGATTACAATCAAGTGTAGTTTAAATGGGACAAGATTGTGACGGTCCCATAGATTGTGTATTCTCTCAACCCTACCTGAATGCAACCTTGAATAAGGTTAAGTGTAATATACCGCCTTTATTAGTTCGATGGTATTAGCAGTCTGGTCACCAAGATATAGTGAGTTAAGCTATCTGACTTACTGGTTTCAACACAGAACTTTGCACAGATGTGCAGCACTTCGAGTCCCGATTCCCCCTCCATGTACCACAGGAAGCAAGAGAAGAGAGTAAAGGGAAGTTCAGAAGAGATAAAAAGTGCAAGTGAGTAGTATGGAAGAACAATCGAGTTCTATTGGATATGACAAATAAATCGCAAGGAGTGAATGCATCTGCGCAAGCTATTGACAACGAGGGATTTGAACCATATAACTGATAGTCTCCAGCCATTGGTTTTACCAAACTATGAAGTTAGCCAGCTGTTTGACCAAGACGTCATAAATGTACTGTGATAGCTATCTAGCTAGCTAACACGTAGACATGCTCAAAAGCTGTCAAGTATTTAATCAACTCATAGCTAAGATTAACACCACAGCCCATTATCGGCACACTGGATAAGATTCTCCCTTCTTTTTTGTCAAACCATTTAACAGTTATTTATACATAATATTTAAGGATTAAATGTTGGCAACAACAAATACTTTAAATATTGTGCATAAATATAAGTGTAGATCAAGACAAGGAAGATATGAGAGCGAATATCTCTTGCTCAATCCAAATGAGTTTGCGCTATAAATAGTATCCGTAACTAAACAAGCTCTAAATCATTGATCTGAGAGTTCGACTACCAACTCCTAGTTCAATGATTCAAATATCTTGCTAAACCTACCAAAGTTTGGATTTCCAAGCAGTAACTCTAGCCACTATCAAGTAGGCATGGTTAACTGCCAACTCCATGTGAATGCAAATACTTTACAATCCCACAGAAAGGAAATGTATAAAATAATATGAATGCACAGTTACGAAGTAGTGAGGTCAGTGATATTCCTGTTTGAATTTCTGGCTTTTTGGAATTCTAATGAAAACTGTTTTATCAGCCAGAAAAATCTGAGTTTTTCATTGTTGTGAATTGAAACATTTTACCTGATACATGGATTCCAGACAGAGTGAAACAGTATTATTTACTGGATGACACAGTTTCGAACAAAACTTATTGTTCATAATCATGTCATCAGTTATAACCACGCGACATTGAAACTTGAGTTTTATAATTTTCTTTGTTCTCTGCTATTTGTCGTCGTTGGGGTAGTAAAATGTTCCAGATATCTGGCTGGACAGGTGTTGAATCATTCCTATTACATGTATTTGCAGTTGATTCGATAAACAAAGCTTCTGTTATCAATCGCTCCCTCTATTCACCCTGTGACTTTAGATTTTAAAACTGTCATTTCATCCCATCATCCTATAGTATGGTTGTGTGTAATTGCATGTAGTGAGTGGTATAGCTGAACTTTCTCCAGATTTTTTATCTTATTCGGGTCAAACAATCTAGATTTTGCTGCTAGGTTTTTATGTTCGGCTAGTCTGACTGACTGCGCCTGTTCTACTAGTTTGACCTATGCATCATTTGACCTGAAATCATTGCAGGTGGGGTATTAGATAAACTAAATTGTTTTGTTTTGAAGGCTCCACAGGATTGATCCTCTAACCGACAAAGCTTGTTTCTAATTGAGTTTGTGGGTTGTTTGAATGCCAGCCACGTTTATTCCTGCCTGTCTTGTTAAGAATTCTGCACTGAAGGTGTCCGAGGTTCCTTCCTTGTATGGAATTACTACTGGTGATTTGGATTCTTTATTGTTGGTGTCGCCATGTAATAGGAATGATTCTACACCTGTCCCAGGCATCTGGAAAATTCTACTCCCTAAACTCAAGTTTTGAATTCGTGTGATTCTAACTGACGACGTGATTATGAACAACAAATTGTGTTCGAAACTGTGTCATCCAGTAAATAATACTGTTTCGTTCACTGTGTGATAGATCTAATAAACAAACTATTATGGGATTACTTACTACCACAGTGCCCAAGTTTTACACATATATTGATACATCGATCACTACTAGACTAGTAGTTCATGATATGAATGAATACAGAAAAAATATAATCCACTGGAAATTACGCTCATATCTGTTTACACAGCTATAGTCTACTGTTTATGCATCTGTTCATACTCCTATTTATCATTATTATCATTATGATTATTATTTAGAGATCAGCACTTAGATTTTTGGGTAACTAAACTATAGCAGCCCAAAACAAAACTACTTCTAGTGACCATTCAGATGCGTTAGAAGTCGAAGTGTGTAATATGAAATAAACATCTATAAACAAGTAATGCAATGTTAAAACATGGTTACCTAGGATAATGTTTTAGAATGTTACAAAAGATCCCCAGTTTCTAAAGGAGCCCTCATAGTCAGGTTAAACGGATTTCGTCAAGGTCATCAGTTCGTTCATCAGGTAGTTTCGTTTTGAGCAGCTATAGCTTACAGTCATCCCCAAGACAACAATAACAATGGCTAGAGCATATTACTCATATGAATCAATATCGTACATAATAAGACAGACGCATTCACTATCTGTGTGAATGCTCAGACCAATTATTCTTCATGTAATTATTCCTTTCCCATTCACATCCCTTCGTTATAGCTTTTCGTGTTGATGTATCTTAAGAGGCTTGACAACTTGGAATAGTGCAATTTTAAAAATACACTGAGTCATTCAAATTTGACTATCACTACAAGAGACATACTAAATAGACAATAAGTAATATCTTGGGCAATAATCTCATGTCTACGGACTTGCAACACTGATAACTGAAGCAAAACAATCTAAACAAACCAGAAAATAATAGCTGCAAGAATTTTGTAAGCCACTCAATGAAATTTTATCCGGATAGAGATTCGTAAATACTTTGTGTTTAGAAATCAGGCATGAACAATTAACTACTACCATTAACAAAGAAAATTTCTCACTAGAAGTAATCCCTATGATAGTTAGTGGGTAGCGATTACTACAACGGTTTCTGTAGCATTAAAGCAACCACAGGCATACATAGAATAGACGGCAACAAGGTTTTAGTTTCTTAGAAATAACTTCTTTTCGCACTATTCATATATAATATTGTCCAAAAGTAATTTATATACCCACTGTGTTAATATTCAGATTCACCAAAATATATACACTTACTTCAGAAAGCTTCAAAATCCCACTTAAACTGCGAACAAAACCAACATTGATTATAGAGGCTACATCAGTAGCCTCATATCTCGTCTCATAAGTAGTCTCATAGGCTGCGGGCGCGCGATCCATGCCCTTTGACTCGATAAAATTCTGGTGTTGAAAATCCGCCACAATAGGCCTTGAAGTAAATAAACACTTGGGTTTATTCAAATAACCGGTGTCTGGTAGTGAGCTAAAGTACTTACATCAGATTTCAGTCCTAAGCTTTTGGGGTAAGTATACGGAGCATTGATTCTATTCTGAATTACCTGTATTTGCCTACCCAACTCTTCTTGAATGAGTCGATCGAGAGTGCGACCACCACTTCTTGTAGGAGTGACTTCCAGATGTTAATGGGATGGAGAGAAGACAAGCACCCTTGGCAGTATAGCTAATTTTCAACATGAAATATTTACCTTGTCTGCCTTATTCTGCCTATTCACATGAGAGCTTAGGTGCCTGTGTATGTATTTATGAAATGACGCCTTCTTCTGATATCTACGTGGCTTAGTTTTTCGGATAAGTTACAAATATACACATACAACACAGTCAGATGGCAAGCCAACAAAGTAAATCTGTGATGGTAAACAACCTCCCCCCAAATTATTATCCCACAGAACTCATAACTAAACACTGGATTCCGAACTTAACTTTTTAAGTCGATTTGCTTAGCTGAAGGATCGCGGTCTAGCATTCACGCCATTCGGCACGCTGCCGTGTAACGTTCGTTCACTTTTCGACGATCCCTAGTTAGTTAAACAATCATCCTCAGACTACGAATCTGATTATGAAACGTCAGTTCGATGAGGGACTCTTGGGAACGTTGTTTCCATTTAAGTTGCCTAGGCCAGTGCCAAATGTGTCTGTGACACTTGACGTTTCATCACCGAAGAAACGGATGCTTCAGTTCACATTTCTGGAAACATCACGTCACCCAGTCACTGAAATAAGCTTGGGCAGCTAACGGACTACGAGTGGTGACACTGAAACGACGCAGTTATGCCACAATCTCAAGCGACTACTTAGGTCAAGCTGGCCTAGGATACACAAATTTGTCCACGAAAACCACCCAACGTAGGATTTCACTGGTCCCTCAGAATCCGAAACACGTTCTACTAAGACCCCACAGGAGTGAGTAGCATATAAGTCATTGTCAACGTAGTTGAAGATTGAACGATCACTTCTTGGTTATTTGCTCAAATCCAACCCTGTATTTTGGCGGGAGTCATCGATAGTGCAGTCGTCGTCTCATCGTTCGCTGCTTAGGGGAAGATAAAAAACTATCAGAAGTATTATTGTGATTTATTGTTATAACATTTATTCTTAGACCTTGTATATAATAACCTCATTGTTGGTTACATGTTGGCGTAAGAATAAAGGATTCTCGAGTCGCCAATCTGTGTTCTGGATTTTCGCGTTGGTTATTACAAATTGTTTCTGAAAGTCTTCCAGGGACAGCGTGAGGTCCAGCGTAGTAAGAGCTGGACATTGACAGCTTATGATAGTTGGCTGACAGTAACTGATAGTTTGGGAGAGTTTCTGATAGTTTCTGTTCGTCTTTCCCCGAGTCTGCCCTTCTTCCTTGGACAAGTGTTGTCTGGAACTTTTCTGGATGTTTTGGTCAAGTTCACTAATGCCTGGGTCAAAGAAAGGACAAAGCATTTGAAAGAAGACAGGAAAGTAAGTAATGATGAGTTGCCTGTTGTATGCAATGATGTGTATGACGCTATGCATGATAAGATTGATGTCCATGTTTCGTGATAGTAGAGGTTTTAAAATTCCAAAATTCGAGCCTCGGAATTTCGACGGAAACCCAGCTGACTATCCACAGTTTGAAAAGTAGTTTGAAGTCATGCTGAGTGGGTTTGAATTAAATGATGAGATGAAGTTAATGTATTTGTTGAGGTATTGCACTGGAGTTGCTTCAAGAGCTATAAAGTGCTGTAAGGTTATGCCCCCAAACGAAGGATATACTGAGGCGGTGCGTATCCTGCATCAAAAGTTTGGAAGACCTTCGATGATTGTAAGGAACGTATTCGAAGCTGTAAAAGGTAATGGTAGTCAATTACAAGATGACTCCAAGGCACTCTCTGAGTTTCTGGATAATCTAATGACTTACAAGAATACGTTGATTTCGATGAATTGCATGAGCGACCTCAACTCGAGTTTTGTCCTAGAAGTAATAGCGAGACGCCTACCTACTCGACTGCATAGGAAGTGGGTGAAGATAACCTCTCGTATAGAGGATGAAGGTTTCGAGCCAAAGTTCGATGACATTCTGAAACTAGTAAAAGATAGTGTCAATCAATCTATGAGCAAGTTTGACCGTATATTGCATTCCACCAGTAGAATGGAGCAGTCTGAGAGCGAAACGCGGTCATTTATGACGAAAGGGTTCAATCGAAGTGGATATCAAAAATTCTTTATGGTGTCTAGTAATCAATATAAACTTATTGAATGTAACAGCTTTCGTGAGACGTCTTCAACAGATAGGTTACAAGTTGCGAGACAAACACGGTTGTGTTTTACACGTTTGCAAGAAGTGCATACAAAGGCGAACTGTGAATCAGTGAGCAAGTTTGTTGATAAGCTAAATGTGAAATCAAGTTCTGACTCCGAATTGTGTGACGATAATGGTGCGGTCAAGAAGCCTGTAGTTGCAACTGGTAAGCCATTGTTGAATAGAGTGTCACAGATGACACCTCAGTTTGTCCAAAAGGAGGTATGGTGAGAGCAGGCCGGTAGGCATCAATTTACGTCAATGTCTATGTCGCTAATATTGGCCGTGAGAAAATACGAACAACGCTGATTCAACAACCAATCACAGCAGACTTAGGGTGGTCAAATATGATTCGCAGATATATGACTCAACTTTCTGAGAAACAAGTCAAAGCAGTACAGAATAACCTTGAGCAAGAAACGACCAATCATAAGACTGTGTTCGTCTGCTTGAATAAGCTATAATAATGAACATGAAATATATATAAATACGTGCTGATTTCTGTAATAAACTATCTGTTGCCTGGCCCTTGTCTTCTGTTGTAACAAAGGGAGTTACAATTTCAGAGTCCAGTTCTGACTCCGTAAGTTAACAAGGTATTACTAGTCAGAGTAAAGGTATAAAACCTCTAAGGATTTCTGAGTAAGAACCCAGATTATCTACTGTTGCTATTAAAGAGTTTGAAAATGATGAAGTCGACCATACAAATGGCTGTGAAGTGAATATTTGTGATTATGATCCTGATAGTGCACATTTGTCTTTGGTTGATCATGATGAGATGAGGAGAATGCCTACTACTGCTGAGTTGAACAAAGGTTCTGTACTACTCGAATGCGAAGTAGAATTAAAAGCAGATTCGGTGGCAGACGGTATGGATACTCATAAGACCGTCAGTGTAAGTGATTAACGTGTAGCCAACCTATCAAAAGATTTTAACGCTAAACTGAAGCTAATAGTAAAGGACAGAAGTGGTGGTAATCTTGCAGTTAGACAACCTTCTAAAAGCCGAGCAGCGACAGCTTCTGATGCACCGCTAAGTTCGTCAACTGCTATCAGTCAGTCGTCGCTGGTGTTGTCATTCACAATGAAGGTGGCGTCCATGAACTCACGTGCCTTATGCCATGACTATGCTAGTATCGGTCCGTCTGAAAGGACGAATGTCAATGGTCAGTTAAGTGAGGACAAACTAAATGTGCATGAGGGTGTAACTTTAAACTGGTTTGCACGAATAAAGGACTTTCAAGTTTCAAGTTGCTATAGGAATATTATTATCTTTGGTGTAAATTACTCCGTGCCTACGCTTGATTGGTCAGATACGTCGCATGTTTGTCAGTCATCTACTTTCCACGATAGATGTTATGGGCGTGTCACTATTCAGAGTTGAGGATATTTGCTGATTAATCTCGTTTGTGTGCGGACATTCTACAACTTACAATCGTCAACCTGAGAAGGGTTGTAGGCGTACTGGTGTAAGTTCTGTAATTATTCAAGGAATTCCATCAAGACATGATCCGTGAGGTTATTTGTACTGTTTGAATATACGTGTGGTGTGTCATATCAATTTGTGATTTTGGATTAATTGTGTTTACTCGTTGTTTTCGTACCTTGTTATTTTGCATAATTTTGTTAAAATTTTCGCCATGCTTACTTCTGAAGTTGTTTCGAGTCTTCTACACCCGTGAATGAATTGATTGTTGTTAAAGACAGCAGATGAGTCGTGTACGCCGGGGAAGCTAGTGCTGAGAATGACATGCACACGGAGATAAGGATTAGCTGTGGAATCAATGATTGAGAATGAATGTTTATATTTAGGCCGTGGTCCCACACGCCGATAGAGCGAGAGTTTAGACGACTGAGGCTTGCATGCGTCACCGTTACTAGAACTGAGGCAGAATGAGTGACAAGTGATCGCCGTGGTAACTGATAGTGGTTAGATAAAAGGATGTGCGTATAGTATTATGAGGTGCTGCTATGGTCACCTTGCGTTCTGCAAGAGTCATTCTAGCAAGTGGCGATTGTGTTACAAGATGTCAAGGGGATACCTTTAACTGGAAGGCGTAGGTCGTCATCGATGAGTGAGTTTGTGCTGTGGGTATGCTTGTGGTGTGTTGGCTTTGCTGTTTGTTTTCCATTTCAGCTCTGTCCGTGTGACCCAGGTTCTCGTAATGGCATCCAAGTCAACGTGTATTGGTCTTGATGGAAAAGAGGAATGGATCCGTATTTTGCTGGGGAGTGTCAATGTAGTTGAAGATTGAACGATCAATTCTTGGTTATTTGCTCAAATCCAACCCTGTATTTTGGCGGGAGTCATCGATAGTGCAGTCGTCGTCTCATCGTTCGCTGCTTAGGGGAAGATAAAAAACTATCAGAAGTATTATTGTGATTTATTGTTATAACATTTATTCTTAGACCTTGTATATAATAACCTCATTGTTGGTTACATGTTGGCGTAAGAATAAAGGATTCTCGAGTCGCCAATCTGTGTTCTGGATTTTCGCGTTGGTTATTACAAATTGTTTCTGAAAGTCTTCCAGGGACAGCGTGAGGTCCAGCGTAGTAAGAGCTGGACATTGACAGCTTATGATAGTTG